GATTTGTAAACACTTTACGCAACAGGTGAACAACGTCCATTTAGATTATTTTCCTGGATGATAAGTCAGATCATGTGCCGTGTCATGAATTAAAATATCTTGCATAATTTATTGCTGTTTTCCACTGGGGAAGCTGTGATTTGAAATCATGTCACGATATGTTTTGTTACTTGCCAGTTTTACGTCCAGTCTGACCACTTTCCTATCAAACAACTCTGCCGTCGCCATTTTTGATATCACTGAATCGTTTATTGCGAACACCTGGTATCATAACTCACTTACTCACACTGGCGTCACAGATTACAGAACCGTTGCCTTCCAAACATTCAGTTTTAGTGACGGAATGTTACTGGTCCTATTGACCACATGTTTAGCATAGTGGTGTAACAATACAGTGATGTAGTGAAGAAATACAGTTTGCAAGTGGTGGTGGTGGTGGAATTGGGTTTAACGTCGTGCTTGAGAATATTTCGCTCATATGACGACGTGCATGCGTGTGTATGTGTATGTGCGGCTGCTTGTACTAGCCCAGACTGAAGCTGGTTTTATAGTGCTAGCCCACTGAGATACCATGCCACAGTGAAGCATGAATACCCCACTCAGACACATTATACTGACTCCGAGCCGACCAGTCCTTGTTGTACCCATTAATGCCGAGCGCCAGACAAGGACCAACAAGTACCATATTTTAACGTCTTTTGGTATGGCGATTGGGGATCGAACCCATGACCTTCCGCACTCCGGGCGGACGCTCTTACCACTACACCACGGAGGCGGTCTACAGTTTGCAAGAGTCCTCATACTTTGTCTATAATAGTTCAGGCCAAAAGTGTACTCTAGGCCAGACCAATTATATTTCTTGTTTTATGGATTTTTGTCCAATCACCAAAGTAATGTTCCTGTGAATTCTAAAAGTATTTTATTTTTGGCAATTTATGAAGTGTATATGAGGCAAAAGAAACAATGTAAAAATAATTTCTGTAAGTTTACATTTTTGGCCAATAAAGACATTAGGATTTTATTTTTTGAGCGGGGAAAATTTCTGTATTTATTTTCTCTTATTCTTGAAAAAATAAGACCAACGGACCTGTAAAGCAAGAAGTAAAATTGGTCTGGCCTTATTACTCTATACATGGGGAAGATTGAACTGTATAGTGTATTTCTTTCTAAGATGCCAAATTTAATACTTACCAACAATTAATCAAAGGCAGAAAACATTGACAACAGTGTCAATGACCTAAATTAACCATGCTCGTACAGGGCAAACTGACATGCTCTTTCAGTGGCATGTCTGCCCCCAACATTAAGGAGCACATTACCAGGAAAACAAATAATGAACAGTTAGATGAGGGCTTACGGTCAGGTTAAATATCTTCTCTAAATTATTTTAATTACATCTGTGATTAACGTAAACCATATGAGACAATATTAATGTCGCATTTTTACTACCAACATATGTTTAGAACAGTAAATCCAGATGAAGCTGACTAGTCACCCGACATTCCATGGATGCATTGTGGGACTGTGGACTGAGGTTTTGTTAGCAAACGTGGCCATGTCACTGTTTAATTGTGAGTTGAGCTGGGACATTTGTACCATCGAAAATAAATTTAAATTTTCCACCAGTGGTGTTAGCCAAGTGAAGCAACTGCAAACCAAGAAACGGGTGCTATGTTTACTGTAAGAGGCTGTACGAGGCGATGACAACTGATATGCATCATGACCAGTGGTACGTTTCATTACGAGGCAGCAGATGAAAATGGTGTAGTGACGTCAATACAGTGTGACGTAATGAAAAAAGTGTACTTAGACTTAGATTTTTTAGCGAAGCATCTTAGAATGACTATTAATAGCATAAAATTCAGTGCCCTTTAGCCTGTTTGTTGGCTGTACAATATCCCATCAGTGTATTGGTCATTTAATAATGAATGATATAGGGTTGTGATTTACTTGCAGAAAATGAAAAATATTAACTAAAGAAATGAAAGTAATGTAGTCAGGATATAAATTGTATGGCACACTTTATGATACTGCACTATCAATGGATTGCAGTTATTTGTCCTATGATGATATTGTATTCACAGGAATTTATGAACAATGAAGTATTGTTAATAGTATAACAATCAATAGTGTAGACTGAACTGTTTGGGGAATATCGTGATATTGCTGGAATATTTGTTACTGAAGTGTTTTGGGGACCATCTTGATATTGCAGGAATATTTGTTACTGAAGTGTTTTGGGGACCATCTTGATATTGCAGGAATATTTGTTACTGAAGTGTTTTGGGGACCATCTTGATATTGCTGGAATATTTGTTACTGAAGAGTTTTGGGGACCATCTTGATATTGCAGGAATATTTGTTACTGAAGTGTTTTGGGGACCATCTTGATATTGCTGGAATATTTGTTACTGAAGTGTTTTGGGGACCATCTTGATATTGCAGGAATATTTGTTACTGAAGTGTTTTGGGGACCATCTTGATATTGCAGGAATATTTGTTACTGAAGTGTTTTGGGGACCATCTTGATATTGCTGGAATATTTGTTACTGAAGTGTTTTGGGGACCATCTTGATATTGCTGGAATATTTGTTACTGAAGTGTTTTTGGGGACCATCTTGATATTGCAGGAATATTTGTTACTGAAGTGTTTTGGGGACCATCTTGATATTGCAGGAATATTTGTTACTGAAGTGTTTTGGGGACCATCTTGATATTGCTGGAATATTTGTTACTGAAGTGTTTTGGGGACCATCTTGATATTGCAGGAATATTTGTTACTGAAGTGTTTTGGGGACCATCTTGATATTGCAGGAATATTTGTTACTGAAGTGTTTTGGGGACCATCTTGATATTGCTGGAATATTTGTTACTGAAGTGTTTTGGGGACCATCTTGATATTGCTGGAATATTTGTTACTGAAGAGTTTTGGGGACCATCTTGATATTGCTGGAATATTTGTTACTGAAGTGTTTTGGGGACCATCTTGATATTGCTGGAATATTTGTTACTGAAGTGTTTTGGGGACCATCTTGATATTGCTGGAATATTTGTTACTGAAGTGTTTTGGGGACCATCTTGATATTGCAGGAATATTTGTTACTGAAGTGTTTTGGGGACCATCTTGATATTGCTGGAATATTTGTTACTGAAGTGTTTTGGGGACCATCTTGATATTGCTGGAATATTTGTTACTGAAGTGTTTTGGGGACCATCTTGATATTGCAGGAATATTTGTTACTGAAGTGTTTTGGGGACCATCTTGATATTGCAGGAATATTTGTTACTGAAGTGTTTTGGGGACCATCTTGATATTGCTGGGGACCATCTTGATATTGCTGGAATGTTTGTTACTGAACTGTTTAGGGTTTTTAGAGGTGTGCCTTGTATTGAACCTTTTAACATGTTTTAAAATAATTCCACTTACCGTATATGACCGACTATAAGTCGGGCCCCTTTCTCAACCCTCTAAATTCTTGCCAAAACCATGTAACTCAAGTATAAGTCGTCCCCTTTCCAAGTACGAATCGGTATCGCCGCCTCAATCTTCACGCTCGGACACAATGTTTAATGCGAAAATATATGCGTGAAGCATTTTTGTGACAGGTTATAACCTAGCACGATACGTCAAATAAATCCCATAATTTACATATAGATTGCGATTTCTTGCTTAATATGTTCAGAATAGCATTAATTAACCCAAAACATTCGTCTATATCTAAAGGTTTTCGTTTACGAGGACGGTATCCATTGCCGTAATATGATTGGCTGCCTTAGGTCACGTGTCTGTTTTTGACCAGTCATGACCCTTATAGCAGACTGTGGCGAAAAAGTGTCATTAGAAACCAATTTTTATCCAATACAATTGCTTCTTACAAGTGTGAAAATACTCTCGGCAAGGGTACAGTGATATTGTTGATGTTCAGAGCTTTCGAACGATGCCCGACATCAAACGATTGGCCTCGCATGTTATTCATACGAAGCTTCGAAAACGGAGGTATTTTCTGTTGTTGTGTCATGTTACCGAGCGAAAAGCCACTGATACCGGGAAATAGGCGACCATACATATTATTTAAGAAATCTTTTTATAATAATTTTCTGATTACGTAAAAATGAAAATATAATAGAAAAAGTCACGGGCATGTTATGACATGTCACAAATGGAAAAAAATCGCCTTAATTTTTGCTTCTTTCGTGGTTTATCTGGATATAAATGTAAACTTGCATTTTCATCATTAACAGTATTTTTCAAAACCACCACACAAAACTGCCACAGAATACAAATAAGTTTACTTTACGTGAAACAAGTCATGTCAAGTCGTGTCACGTGGCCCAACTTTATCGCTCGATAACAAAGTACCGGTAAGTGCAAAGCTGTGATAAAAATATCTTATTAAATTTAATTTATTGTTTATACTATGAAATATATTTTACAAAAGACAAACAACAAAGTTTTATATTTTATGCTTATTTGTCCCATGATGTCATTTACCTTTGGAAACGTTGTCAGTACGTATATGCTTCCTGCTTCCGGTGTAAACATTGCCAGTTGAGTTCGCAGGGCTGGCAGATTCACACACCTGACCTCGGGAATTTTTTGGGTAGATTAATGAACTCAAGTATAAGTCGGGTCTGATTTTTTACCTACATTTTCTGATATCAAATTTCCGACTTATAGTCGGTCATATACGGTAAACTGTTATGGTGACTTAGACTTACATCTGTTTGTGTTTTTCCCAGCTGTGGCAATACATGTAATAAATTAACAACAGTGTCTAAACAACAATATTAAAGTGTGATGTAGTGCTGTTTTCATGCATTGCATGCTTAATGCCTCAGGGTTATTCGGTACACTGAAAAATTGCAAAGTGTTTTCCTATTTGTGGGTTTTTTTTAACAGGCTTCTCAAAAATTAAATGAGTGATGGTGATTTAATTTGCAGAATGAAGAAAGCAGGAAGCATATCTGATATACTCTTCAGCCTGTTTGATTTGTTTCAGAATTGGCCAAGATGAGCGATCACCCAGACATGATTGACCCTATGGTCGACACCGCTGGAAAGAGGGGAATGTTTTCTCGCATGAGAAGACCCCGACAGATGTCGACTTCGGTAAGTGTCTGTCCGTTATGTTGGGTATAATGTCTCCATGCTGTTGTTATAACCACAACCAACTGAAACCAAAGGTTTGTGTGTTTTCTTAGGCAAATCAGGGCGATGGGGTAGCCTAGTGGTTAAAGCGTTAGCTCGTCATGCTGAAGAACCAGGTTCTAGTCCCCACATGGGTACAATGTCTTTAGTCCATTTCTGGTGTCCCCCGCTGTGATATTGCTGTAATATTGCTAAAAGCCTCATAAAACCAAACTCACTCACTCTTAAGCAAATCAGATGGCTTCATTTCTTTACCACCTCAATTTCCCACATAGCATTCGGACGTTGGCCCAACGTTGGCAATGTTGGCAAAACCATTGCCAACATTGGGCCAACATCTGAATGCTATCTGGGTTCAATCTGTGTCAAAGAAAAGTATTACAAACACATATATCCCCTTATAACAGGAACCCTTTCAGATGTACTTGAGTGAGTGAGTTTAATTTTACACCGCACTCAGCAATATTCCAGCTATACGGCAGCGGCCTGTAAATAATTGAGTCTTGACCAGACAATCAAGTGATCAACAGCATGAGCATTGATCTGCGCAATTGGGATACGATGACGTGTCAACCAAGTGAGCAATCCCGTTATTCGCCTCTTGCGACAAGCATGGGTTGCTGACAACCATTTCCAACCTGGATCTTAACGGGTCCTTTCAGATTTAAGTACAATAGCAGCAACAAAATAATAACACAACATATTTCTTTTCATTACAGTAAACTATGGGTATATTGTACTCAAAGAGACCTCAACTTTTAGTTTGAGTTAAGCAGGTTCACTATGAACAGTTTACTGTATGTTCAGTTTGAAAGCAAAAATCAGATAAACTGTCTGAATGCTTTTGCACACTACTGAGAATTTAGAAGCCTCATTCTGATTGACTGATAAGAAAGTTCATGAGAGCAACCTCCTGTGGAGGCTTCTTGAGATCTTCACACAGAGGTATCCCATGGAAGTGAAAAGTCTGATTTTAAACGATCATGTTCTACAAGTGACAGCAATCATGTTAAAAAAGTGACAGCATCATCTCCATCTCTTAGTAAGCATAGGATTTCTGTCATTCATAACTGTAACTAATCTCACTGGATGTCTATCTTCCGAGGCAGGTCTTTGTGAATACTGAAAACAAAGCCCCCAAACTAGGAATGTGTCCATGTATTGATCATAATAGAATGGAAACGTGAAACTGGATAGTCTAGGATGGGTGTATAATTTGTGTGATGCCATGCCCTTGTAAGGTCATTATCTGATGTAGAAATGTGTCAGCTAAGAAAGTTAATCCGAGATGTGAATACACAATGCCAGTTAGGCGGCTGACTTTGTGTGATGGCTATATAGTGCATGACTCTGAACATGTGGGTTCGAATCCTGGATGGGACTCAACCAAACAAAAGTACTAGAATCTGTACTTTACAGTAAAAGTGTAATCCCAGATATTACATGTGTTTTATAATTCAAGATGGTTGCACATTAGGAATACAGCTAGACCTGGCTTTCATGAGAGTTTTTGTATATGTCATGCTGTTTTCTTTACAACTGATGTTATGACTTTTTAAAGTAATTTTCATTTCACAGGACCCACCAAACTGAGAATGTGCCTTTAATGCCTAGTTAAACGTGATGCTTTGTTGAGATCAAAGTGAGGAAGAAACTTAAATACATCGTATTGTACTGAACGCAATGATACAATGCAATATTACACTGCAATGATACAATGCAATATTACACTGCAATGATACAATGCAATATTACACTGCAATGATACAATGCAATATTACACTGCAATGATACAATGCAATATTACACTGCAATGATACAATGCAATATTACACTGCAATGATACAATGCAATATTACAGCAATGATACAATGCAATGATACAATGCAATATTACACTGCAATGATACAATGCAATATTACACTGCAATGATACAATGCAATATTACACAGCAATGATACAATGCAATATTACACTGCAATGATACAATGCAATATTACACAGCAATGATACAATGCAATATTACACAGCAATGATACAATGCAATATTACACTGCAATGATACAATGCAATATTACACTGCAATGATACAATGCAATATTACACAGCAATGATACAATGCAATATTACACTGCAATGATACAATGCAATATTACACTGCAATGATATGCAAATTGCAATATTACAATGCAATGATACATGCAATGATACAATGCAATGCAATGCAATGATACAATGCAATATTACACTGCAATGATACAATGCAATATTACACTGCAATGATACAATGCAATATTACACTGCAATGATACAATGCAATATTACACAGCAATGATACAATGCAATATTACACTGCAATGATACAATGCAATATTACAGCAACATGCAATGATACAATGCAATATTATGCAATGATACAATGCAATATTACACAGCAATGATACAATGCAATATTACACACTGCACGATGCAATGCAATATTACACTGCAATGATACAATGCACTGCAATATTACACAGCAATGATACACTGCAATATTACACTGCAATGATACAATGCAATATTACACAGCAATGATACAATGCAATATTACACTGCAATGATACAATGCAATATTACACAGCAATGATACAACTGCAATATTACACTGCAATGATACAATGCAATATTACACTGCAATGATACAATGCAATATTACACTGCAATGATACAATGCAATATTACACAGCAATGATACAATGCATTATTACACTGCAATGATACAATGCATTATTACACTGCAATATTACACTGCAATGATACAATGCAATATTACACTCCAATGATACAATGCAATATCCCACAGCAATGATACACTGCAATCTTACACTGTAGTGTTAAAACGCAATGTTAAAATACCTATAAAACATGAAATTTCTATATAAAATTATCCTTAATTATATGTTTTCCCAAGTTTCCCATCAATGTGACTATGGCTACATACACTGGAACAGGAGATAAATCCCATAACGATCCCTGGTCTATAAACAACCTCTTTCTTCATTGTTTTAGAAAAATGGTAAATATTTACCATTTACCACATGTGACAGTAAAACTTTCCTTTAACATTAAAATGTCAAATTTTGAGGGACAAAAAATAGCAGTCTGTAGAAGGGGGTCGGCTTATCTATGGGTTACACTTTTGTCAAACTATTTTTCACAGGGTAAGAAAACGACATCGTATTGCTACCATGATACTATTTATGCCTTTAACCCAAAGTGTAGGCAAAACCAAAATAATGGTAATTTCCAACAAACAGGAACCCTGGTGCCAGGTAATAAGCAAACATGTGTTATACCATAACCTCATCATAGTATGATCTCATTTCTGCAACTTCATAGGCAGCGATTAACCTGGGTTATAACAAACATGCTTATACCGAACCATGGCTATAGTGATCAACCACTGATATAAAGACTGCCATAGTGCGGCGTAAAACTAAACTCACTAAACTCACTGATACAATCAGAGTTTTACACAGACTTTGAAACATGGGGGTCAATGTGACTCACATATCTAGTTTGGGGAGTCATTTCCAATATTTGGGAGTCATGAAAATTTAATATTTGTTTGTGTTTATAAATCAAAAAGCAAGAGTTTGGCAAATATTTTATTGTTTTATGTTGCATTGTCATTTATATAACTAGCTAGTAATATAAGTTGTATGGTTCTCTTGAGGGCAATGCGGTCTGATGTACGTCTTTTTGTAGCAGTGTCACCCGAGCCAGTAGTAAGGATTACTGTCTGCTCTGAGTTCTTTGGAACAATCTGACAGCTCTGTCAATATAAAATATAAATATATCTTGCATCAAGCTTGACTGTCACATAAAACAATGATAATATTTTGATTGGGAGTCTTTTCAGACAAACACTGCTCTGAGTTCTTTGGAACAATCTGACAGCTCTATCAATATAAAATATAAAGGAATCATCAAGCTTGACTCATGATAATAAAACACTGTATCAAATCACGCAGGAATCATGTGTCATGCTGTATAATGAGCTGTGTCATTGGTCCTAGGCAGTTTCTGCATATTTAGTTCATTATTATTCAAGTATAGTGCACATGCCCTGGGCAGATAAACTGGTAAAAACTGTTATCTTGTTCAAAATTGGGGTACTTTTAAAGTTCATATTGTACAAAATTCACAGGTATTTTAATGATGAATATTAATACTGAATTCAATGCGGTACTGATAAATAATATAACTTTTTAAGATAATTTTGCTATCATAATCTGTTTCCAGAGAATGAATAATATGCATATGATCAAATGCTTAACTGGTGCCTTTTTCCTGTTTCCTTGGCAACGAGTTGGAATAACCAATATGTAGTTTGTTTTCATTACCAGAGAGTAACTTAAAAACCAGGCAGGTTGTTGAGTTCGTTAGGGATGATTTATCCATAACTTTTTTAATGTATTTTCCATGAATCTTCATTTCCTTATTAACATATTTAATACTGAAACTGTGAGGCTGTATTTTGGGCCTACACTGGCTTGTTTGAAAACATAATTCAATAACTGAACTATATACTACTTGACAAGGGTGGTAAGCAGTGGGGTAGCCTAGTGAGTGAGTGAGTGAGTTATTATTTAACGTCACATCGGCAATATTTCAGCCATATCGTGACGAGAACATTTGACATTAAGAAATAGAATATATATAGATATTATAAAAACCTGCCGACGAAGGACAGTAAAAATACTAGACAATCACAGATATGAATATAAAACTAGCAAACAAAGCTAAAATATTCCAATGAAAGAAGACAATACAATGTAAAAATGGGGGTAGCCTAGTAGTTAAAGCGTTCGCTCGTCACGCTAAAAATCTGGCTTTGATTCTCCACATAGGTACAATGGCATATCAATAGGTATATCAGAAGCCCATTTCTTGTATCCGGACCCGATATTGCAGGA